TTTCTTTTATTACTTATTATATATTTATTATAAATTACATAAATAAATAAATTATATAAATGTATATATTTTAAAGTAATAAAATTCTGTATGTGTTCAAAATATATTCTCTTGAAATTATAATATGTGCACTAGCTTATTTATATTAATATACACATCATTCTCATTTTATATTCATATATTGTTTTTTATTGGATTATAATATACAAATATTTTTATATTACATTTACAGACTGATGATAACATCGACAGTCCGGCTGGTTCGAGACGTTCATCAGAGCAGGTACGTTTATTTATTTTATTATATCATTTATATTATCTAATATTTTATATATAATATTTTTTCTTTTATTGCAAAAATTTTAGATTGACAGTCCCAAACCTACTCTTCCTGTGTCTAATGACGAAGGATTGCCTCCTGGTTGGGGCATGCAAGTAGCACCTAATGGTAGAATATTTTTTATTGATCATAATGAGAGGGCTACAACTTGGATTGATCCCAGAACGGGAAGACCAAGCTCTATACCTAATAATATTGCACCATCAACGACATCGAGAAGTGATTTAGATCAATTAGGACCGCTTCCAGAAGGATGGGAGGAAAGAGTACATACAGATGGACGAATCTTCTTTATAGATCATAGTATGTGTATTATTTTTTATAATTTCAAGTTTTAAACTTAAATTATAATAATATTACACATATATATATAGTATTTATTTATCTTTTTTTGTTATAGATACACGAACAACACAATGGGAAGATCCGCGTATGTCTAATCCTCAAATTGCTGGCCCGGTATGGTTACAAACATTTTATTATATGAATCTTTTTATGTAGGAAAATAATATATACATATATATATATTGTTTTTAGTGTAGATATGTATATATAAATTTAACATATTGTGAATTGTTATTCTTTTTCAGGCTGTACCATATTCAAGAGATTACAAGCGTAAATATGAATATTTGAAATCACAATTGAGAAAGCCTGTATGTAGATATGTTCATTACTCATTAAATTTTGACATAGATATGGTTATATTATATCTGTCTAATCTTATTACAGAATAATGTTCCTAATAAGTTTGAGATAAAAGTTGGCCGAAATAATATTTTGGAAGATTCATATCGTATTATAAGCTCTGTTAACAGAGTTGATATTCTAAAAACGAAATTATGGGTAGAATTTGAAGGAGAGGTAGGCTTAGATTATGGTGGCCTTGCAAGAGAATGGTTCTTCTTATTGTCTAAGGAAATGTTTAATCCATATTATGGACTCTTTGAGTATTCTGCAACGTGAGTATAGAAACTCTATTTTAGTGTTTATATGTAATATATGATCTCTCTCTCTCTCTCTCTCTCTCTCTCTCTCTCTCTCTCTCTCTCTCTTCAAAACAAAAATGGCATGATTTTTTATTTTTAGTGATAATTATACACTGCAAATTAATCCTTGTTCTGGTGTATGTAATGAAGAGCATTTGAATTACTTTAAGTTTATTGGGCGCATAGCAGGAATGGCTGTTTATCATGGCAAGCTTTTGGATGGTAAGTCTTGATATGTAGTAAAATTATAATATTTGTAATAATAATATATGTAATGTACGAAATGTAGGTAATAAGATAATTAAATTAAAAAATTTTATTTTTTAGCTTTCTTTATTCGACCATTTTATAAAATGATGTTGGGTAAAGCAATTGATCTGAAGGATATGGAGAGCGTTGATTCTGAATATTACAACTCGCTTTTATGGATTAAAGAGAATGATCCTAGTGAATTAGAACTCACTTTCAGTCTTGATGAAGAAAGCTTTGGTCATACATCCCAAAGAGACTTAAAGCCAGATGGTGCTAATATTCCTTTGACCGATGAAAATAAGGACGAATATATAAGTTTAGTTATACAATGGCGGTTTGTATCTCGCGTACAGGAACAAATGAATGCCTTCCTAGAAGGTTTTAACGCTCTTATACCACCAACATTAGTAAAAATATTTGATGAACATGAACTGGAATTGTTAATGTGTGGTATACAGCATATTGATGTGAAAGACTGGAAACAAAATACTTTATATAAAGGAGACTATCACGCAAACCACATGGTTGTACAATGGTTTTGGAGAGTCGTTTTGTCATTTAGTAATGAAATGCGTTCTAGATTATTACAGTTTGTAACTGGTACATCACGTGTTCCAATGAATGGATTCAAAGAACTTTATGGAAGTAATGGACCGCAATTATTTACAATTGAGAGGTGGGGTACACCAGAAAATTATCCACGAGCTCATACTTGGTGAGTTTTTATTTTATAAAGATATTGCATTTGCTAAAATTTTTTTAATTTACTTCAAACTATATATACATTTTGTCTATTTTAGTATTATATTTTTTAAAAATAAATAAAATATAATCATTTACTAGTTTTGTTTATTATTAACGATGAAATAATTTCTTTTATATAAATATGTTATACAATAACATAAATTGTTCCAGTTTTAATCGTATTGACCTTCCTCCGTATAAAAGTTGTCAACAACTCAGGGATAAGCTAGTTAAAGCAATTGAAGGTTCTCAAGGCTTTGCTGGAGTCGACTAGCACGAAATACCTTTGTTCATGATGATATCTGTAATATAATAATGTATATAATTACATATATCTTATAGAGGTACACAGAAAAAATATTATCTTAATACGATTATCTATTTAAAAATTTCTGCACTTTAATGATTTTGTTGTCTCAATTATGAGCAACAGCATTATAAAATATATTAAAAATAATATGTTTAAAAGTTAAATCGCTTAGTTTTTCTAAATAACTTTCGATAAGTCTTTCAGCATATGCTACGCTTTTGAAAATACTTATTATAATGAAAAATATTTACATAACTGAAGTAGACTGTTAAAACTTGCAGTCACATATTAACTAATCCAATTTTAAAGACATGCCATATTCTTACTATTGCAATTATGGGATTTTTTAGGAGAAGTCATTTGGCTGCTATAACAATGTGATATTATGATATTGATGTATTAATTGATTCTTTTTTCTTTGTTAATAATATTAATAATGTTATGAAATATAATTTGTGCAATGGTTGTATATGATAAAATTATGACAAATTGTTTCAAAATGACATTATAATGACATGTTATCCTAAAAATTCTGTACACATAGATATGCTATCTTTTTTCTACTTCTAAATCACAAGATATTATATAATGCTATTTTGTTGTCAATAAACTCAATTTTTGAAATTTGTATTTATATTAAAATTTTGGTAAAGAGAATTAATTAACTTTCTTTTTAATTAAAAAATTTATTCTATAATTTTTTATATTCTTTACTCGAAATAATTAATTATTTTATAAAAAGTACATTGTTTTTCTAATCAATCAAACTTTTTTGATATTGTAAATATGGATTATATACATCATAATTTTAATTATATTTTTATGGCACACCAAACTATGCTTCTCTTTTTCAATTTTAACAGCATGTAAATTTTTAATTTGCTTAATATGTAAAGCTGTTTATATCTTTTGTTGAAGGGCAAATATAAAATGCTTGTCATATATATTTTACATGCATACACACACGCACACACACACATACAATGTGTGTGTATGTGTGTGTATATGTAGATGTAAAATACATGTTTTTCTTTATATACGTTGTTCCTTTTATGATTATGAAATAATAAAAGATAATATTATACATATAAATCATATTGTTCAAGAATGTATACTCTTATATAATATACAGAAGAATATAAACAGTTTTATAAACATTATTATGTTATTAGAAGAAAAGGCAAGAAACGATAAAACCAAAGCTAATGTTGTAACGATTTTATTTCAAAATTTTTACTTTATTTTATGCTAAATAGTATGAAATGAAATTATAGAATAAGTTATTAGATGAAAATTCATATTTTACATTATATTAATATATAAAGTAAAATACGCAAAATTTTATAAGCATACTAATAAACTTATTTATAAAAAGATATATTGAATTAACAAATTAATTGGTTGCAGGTGATATCATTAATAATATCTTGCTTGTTCTTCTGAGTTGATAATGACTTGGGGATATACGTTGCATTTAGGAAATATAATTGTATACAATAAATGAAGTATAACAAGTTGATTGTTTTTCAAAAATCTAAATCGTTGTGTATATTTTGTCAATATTCAGATGCAACAAAACTCAATAGTCTCGCATAGTCTCGAAAATAATTTAAATATTGCTCCTTGTTAATAATCGAAAATGACGAAATTAGTATCAGATATGAATGCCTATCTTGTATTATAACATTTATTCACAGAATTAACATACATTCTGAAGGATACGGAGTTAATATAACATTCCATCCTGTTTGTACAGTTTATTTTATTGTAAACAAGGTACGTCCCGTTAGATAATAAATAATATTGTCATGACAGAAATTTTGTGGCCTTAAATTCTGGTTATGAAATTTCTTATTTTAATAAGTCTCTCGTTCGTAAAATCTAGATTTGTATAATAGTAAAGTGCGCCAATTATTCGTTAAACGAATATCATTTGGTATTTCTTCATCTTCATATTAGATTTGCAGAGCGATATATATAAGCTTATATTTAATATGTTAGTATTTCCTAGCTTGGGAGATGACAAGTTGTATCCAGTGTAATCTAATATGTTATGAAGTGCGTTTAAGACCCTAAGCTCATTAATGGAGCAATGAACAACCAGCGCGCAATCTAATCTTCATAAATTAAAGTTAAGATCGGATAAAGAGGAAGATTGTCATTATGCATGTACAATGCAGTGTTCTCTGAGTCTGTCTTTCAAAACTGGTGATTTTATATTAATACTTAAAATCTATTTTTTTTTTTATAATATGATCGTATATGATCAACAAGATTGGTTCACTTAATTTATTTCAAAATATGACAAGCACGCATGTATGCGTTCGTTTAACATACATATCATATGAATTTCATGATTTGCAAAAATAGTATGGTGAAACAATAAGTAGTACATGTAATTAACGTTAGATGGACTTATAGAATATTGTCATAATGTAATGTAGACGATGCGAGAGACACGTAAATTTTTGTATTCAAGTTTGAGTATGTTCTATTTGTAGCTTCTTGTATTATATTCTTATATAAAAAAAATCATAAATACGAAAAAGCAGTACATGATAAGATATCTAATGAATTTAATAATTGCGTTTGGTATCCTATGTATCGCATAAACATTTTTACAGACAGACACAGAGTGTTAAAATTGTATTTATTTGTAAATCGACGATATCAAAAAGAAGATTTAAATGTAGGTATTATCAGATAGATATTCTATTTGAAAATAACCGCATTTATGCTTGATCTATATAAATATCCCGTAAAACTTAATGCCTTACGATAATTATATCACGCATTAGAATATATCTACTTAATGTTTGCATTATTATTTACTGATGTACGTTGACTTTATTATCGCGTCAGGTAGCTATTGTTTGACAGTATACACTTTAAGTGTCTTTATCTATATGTCTATACTTTCACTACCAATGCCTTATTTAATTTAGGACGGAAGGAGACTTAATTGTTTTAAGCTAGCTCAATGTGGTATACAACACGTTTTATTTACATATACTTACATGCACGAACTGAAAGAAATGCGTGACTTAATTACGTTGTATTCGTGTAAATATAAATATAAATAAAAAAGAATACGCTGTAATATATTATATAAAAAAAAATGAGCGCTTCTATATCGCAGTTGCAACAAGGAATACATAAAAGATATGCTTACCGTGCTATGTCCTTGCGTTATGATTATTAATTACTAACGAATACGGTGGAGTTTTCAATCATGAAAAAAATTTTAAGTATTAATATTATATTTAATGAAATTAATATTACAAGGCGAATTATGTTCTTATATAATATATATTGTGGAAAACCATACTATATATGCAAATAAATTATATTAAAAAGTTGCACATCACGTAATTCTTAATATCCACATAAATGATACAGAGATGCTTTTAGATCTCTTGATCTTGTAGATTTGTCGTTTTTATGTTATTAAATACGTCTCAAAGCACCAAAAAATGTATTGACAGAAAAAATCAAAATATTATTTTTATCTTATGAATTGTTTGGTCATCATTAAATCTAACGAGATACTCAATAAGTTATTTTTTACAAATTTTACATGTAATTAATAAGATTATAATTTGCAGATATTTTTTTAAGATAATAGATTGGATTTATGAAATATTTTATCGGCTATGATATACTTTTATTATATAATTGTTTTATTATATTAAAAATATATCAATTTTACAATAATGTATTATATTCCTTGATTTTCATTCTTTAGAAGAAATTTAGATTCTATATATCGAAGCAACAAATCATTAAATTCATTAATTCGGAGGATCCATTGTGTACCTTGAAATAAGGTAAAACTTATAAAGTGAGTAAATTCACTAAGTGTTAACAAATGAAATGGTAAATATTCCAATAAATTTGTTTTTCTTTTCATTTTATTCTATCGGACTATTTCAGGTTTCCGAATGCCATCCAGGTCATCATTTTATCCTTATTGCTGACCGAATGTTAAAATGATACCCAGAGAGCACTCGAGTGGGAATCTGGACGCGCCCCTGATTTTAAATGAGTCAGCAATCCAATGATTCTCGTCATCATACCCGATCAGCGTTCGAATTTCCCGCCCGACGCCGCGCCATCGAGTACACCCACGCGCCGCGAGATGGCCCTAGTCGCGAGCACATCCGCAGAATCAAAAAAGACAGTTGGGAAGTGTAACATCACACATCGATTCGGCGGCCCGCGTCGAGCCCGAAAAAAAAACTTTCTTCTTCCGCGTTCCTTGGGCCCGAGCTGTGTGCGGTCGCGACGAAACCGCTTAGCCCCGCGTCTAACGTTGACGCGCGCGTACGCGTGTGGTGCGGTGAATATAAGTGACTCCGAACGACGTGAGTACAAAGCGCGTTGCGCCGATGGAAACGTGACTGTCCCCTCGGTTGTATGTGGTGATTCCCGTCACGGGCAGCGACAGTGGGTAGCGGGTAGCAGCCCTCTCGTTCAACCCCCGTCTTCCGAGAGCCACGTCGCCGACATCGAGGGAGGGAAACTCGGCGTTCCGATAACGACCGCGGTGGAGGTCACTGCATTGCGGTGAGTACGTCGAACCCTGTATACACTTTGGCTTTCCGTACGACGTTTTTGTAAGTACGACACGGCACGCCTCGTCAACGACGGAATCCCGCTCCATGAAATTCTTTTCGCCACCCTCGTATCATACAAGCGAATCTCGTCGACCGGCCGTCAAGGGTTCATTACCCCCTCGGCAACGAGTACACACACGGCGCGGCGTCGCGCTCGGTCGCCGTGGCGAGCTTTCCGCCCCGCCGTGTCCATTGAAGATCCCTAAATCCCTTGCTGATCTCGTAGTAGAATCCTCGCGAAATTTTTGAATGCCCCGCGATGAGAAATTAGCCGCGAGAAGTTGGTCGCTTAAAGCGACGTTCGCAAGTACGGATTCAAATGCTGCGTACCGATCACTATCGGGATGCTTCTGATATTCGCCGCAATTTCTCTCGTGATCGATTGACGTTTTGAGAGTTTCGGAGTTTCGTTAGGGCAATGATAGAAGCGCGTTAAAGATCCTCTTAAAGACTTTATTGTAACACATGCTGTAGACATGTATTACTGTGGAACAACATAAATAATTAATTCTTATGCTGCAGCCATGATGTTTATACATTTGCGATATTGCAGCTGCTGGAAGTGGAAGCTAAGTAGAATATTGCACAAAGGTAGAATTAGTTTTTTATAAATACTGATTTTAATTACACTACATTACAATGTAATTTGTAATTTAATACACACGTATGTGTGTGTAATTTTACATGCAGTAAATATCATTCTATTGCCGAGGAGTGATTATTCAATTTACCTTCTTTTTTTTAAGTAACGGTTATCTTCAACGAAGAATAATTTCTTAATAATGATCTTAAAAATATACTTGTTAAAATTATTAGAGGAATTATATAGTATTCGAAACAAGAATTTATTTTCTTTTGAATATTACAAAATTGATTGAAGACGCAACTTTGTATAATAAGAAAATTGAATTTGTTTTAATTCAATAATTAGAATGTTAAACTTATTAGGATTAAGAATACATTTTGAATGTGAGCTTACGAGATTTGCGGGTATATACTTTTTAAATATTTAAAACAGTTTATTAATGCTTATGTAATATTTATATATTTTTCTGTGTTATGCATATTTTTTTAAATAATAAATAAGCAAATTAGAAAAAAAAATTAATTAGTTAAGTAAACATATCCATATCTATGTAGTGACACATATTTATATATTTATTTATTTGAGTAATTAGTTATTAAAAAAATTTACCCGCCTGGCGCATTAAAGTGCTTCTCGTATTTCGTTAATAACCCGCATTAAAATTTACTCAAAAATATTATTCCCATATAAACTCAATGCAAAATGCTCCATCGCGTATAATTTAATCATCTATGAATATTTTTCATGCAAATTAAAACATTGCTGTTAAAATGGAAATATATAATATGTCGAGTGTTTTATTTTATTAACAGCAATTAATATCTTTTGCGCCATTCGTGGGTGATATATAATCATTTAGGATTTAGGATGTCAAATGACATTCTGCATCGTGTTGAAAGGAATTAAAATTATTTTACACAACGTATCTAAAACTATAATTGTGTTAAGCTATTAATATATCATTGTTACTTTTGAAATGTTTATTATCTTAATCCATTGTATTACGTCGTATATGAACGTTATTATTATTTATTTAAGCAATCTAAATATGAAAATACATACGAGTTCCATGCAAAGGTAATTTTAAGCTTTGATAGATTAACAGTTAACATAATTCTCGCTTCCATGTTTTATGTTAAAGTTACATCGGAACATTTGTCGCGTGGCGTTTCTTCATTTGACGCCTCTCGTCAACGTTTTATCGACGTAATAAAATAATATCCGAGAGGAATTTTTTAACCATCACCGTATGTTGTATCACGCGTCGTGCGTTGGCGTATTTATATTGCGTCAGTACTACTGTGTGACACAACAGTATCGTTTAGCAATAAACACAGATAAAACTCTTCTGCGGTATTGATGTATATATTATGTAACTAATAGAGTCATCTAATCAATCCGTGCTTTTCGCTTTCCTCTCGCGAAGAAATGAAAGCTTAAAACAAGGGATCGTTGGATCTATTAAAACATTAGATCGAATACGCCGCAGTAGTAGCGGTTTTATTTGATATCGACTCGTCGCCGGTTGGCGTGTGTCTGTTTTTATTTAACTCACGTGATCACCTTGCAGTATCTCTCAGCAATACGTCGATATTCTTCTGTATTTTTCGTTGATATCTTTTTTTTCCTTCATCGAAGCGAAACTGAGAGAACGCGCGCGCGCGCGCGAATAAATATCAAGATGAGTGAAGTGATGTAGAAAGCCAGCAATCGCCATCGAGCGTTAATTAACACTCGATTAATAGCATCCTTTTACGTTTGCGAGCAGCGTGTGTCGCTTTGTCTCGAGCTATTTATTAAAGCGCATCAGTTTACATTGTCTTCTCGTATCCCGCGCGCGGCAGCTTAGGAGTGTCAAATGGGCTTTTCACATTAATTAAGAGATCTAATAATAATTAACCGTTCTTTGGCTGTTGGAGTACTCGAGCTCACTTGCCTTGTCAAAGGAGAATTGGCATAGTTAGTCGAAAATTGAGATCAAATATGTATCCAAAACATAAATATGTATTTAATAATTCTACATTGAAAAACAAATGAATTTTAATAGGCATTTGCTTGGACAGTTCTAAATAAATATTTACCAATTGTACATATATTTATTTGGTGCAAGAACTATTAATTTGTTTAAGTTTAACTACTTATTTTTTTATTTTTTGAGCCTAAATATTTATTTACTGTAAATGTTTATATAATATTATTCTTCAAGAAATATATGTGTTAAGATTTAATAAATTTCTTTCAGTGCGATATATTACAATTTTTCTGATATTAAATTAAAAGTACAGTTTTACTTTATAGCTTATTTTATATATATTTACGTGAAATAATTTCTATCATATTGTTATATCAATCGGAAGCCATAATTTTTTTTTTAATTTTTCAATTATTGATTCTTCTCTAAAGTCTTCTACAATTGCGTAAGCGTTGTAAAAAGTTGTAGTTGTAAAAATTGATCACAAATGAATAATCCTCACGTTCGATTGTGATTAATCAATTTTTACAATTACAACTAATTACTTACAAGTAGTTACTCGTATGCAATTGTAGAATTAGGCGAAAATTGATTAATGTTTAATTCACTCCAGGAGTGACAAGAAACGATCATCAAGTTTTTTGCATCATTTACCTGTCAAATTGCGTCGTGCTGTACATATATGAGGATAGACAACTGGTGTGTTGCGTTAATTACCGCGCTCGTAATTAGCCGTGTTTTTTCAATCGATTGGGTGTATTCTAGTGAATGTCCAGAGCGATGCAGTATCCAACAAGAAGATGGCGTCGATGAATCGGCTAGTGAGTTTAAATTCTCCCTCTTTACATCCCCGGGATTAATTGTTCATTTATTTTAGTCACGATGGCTGCATTTAGGGAGCACGCTATGCTATCAGGTGCGTAAGTACGTCTAATGAATGATAGAACGTATATAACGCTGATAGTGTACTCCTGGAACGCAGCCGACGCGATAACTCGATATCACGTTACAGTGACGATAGCATTTTGTACCTACACAGTTGGACAATTTGTGTTAAATTTAATGCATTTTAATTATGTGTCCCAAATGGTCTATTCAGATTTTTGTATT